TGATGCAAGATTGAAAGTGACATGATTTCTTTGTTACTGTAAGCAGGCGTTCATACCAAACGAGGTGGTCATCCCCCTGCGCCGGTCACACGGTCCTGCCCTTCCACTGGACCTTCCTGTGTGCTGGGACATCACGTAACTGAGCGGTAAAGCAGATCAGGGTTAAACTTAACTGATTTTCTTGTTGCTGGTCTAGTTGTAACCCAATCCAGTTTGCCGTGCAGCCGTAGAAATGCTTTTACAGGCACAAAGAAGGACAGGGCACAGGTGTGAAAATCAGCAGCTTACGGCAGCAGCAGAACCATCTTTGTCAGCCCCACTACTGGCTTATCGTGATCTAAGCATGAAACTATGATACTACTCTACTTGAAATTCCGCTTATAAATTAACATATTGGCAAGCATGGCTGGGTAACATAATCGGGCTTTTAACTGCTCACAAACTATACAAAGAGGATCAGAAACATATTTAAAATGCACAAGTGATCTCTCCATCGTACCAAATCGCAGCAGCCAAACCCAGACTGACATATTTTATGCTCACAGTAAGGTCAAATCCATCTGAAGAAATAAAAGGGACCTCAAAAGACATAGCCTAAGAGTCTAGAAATTGCTATTCATGACCCAGATCTCCACTGCAGAATTCCTGGAACTCACCCTTGCCCCACTTTTCCCAGCTTGTGCTTCCTATGTTCTTCTTCAAGGCCCGCTACCATTGTTACTGGGTTTGGGGTTTTTTTATTTTAACATTATTACATTTTTTGAAAGTGTGAAATCACAAGAAACTCAAAAAGTGAGTTAAACATCTGTTGCCTGAGATTGTACAGCGGCAGAGCATGGAATTAAACCCAGGCACTCTACGTAGTCTTCAGCTCGGCCGGTAACAAAACGGGGTTCGGTATTTTTTTCCAACTCTTACCCAATTCCCCTCTCTAGTCACTGCGATGTGCCCTCTAGGTAACGGCTGTGACTTCATGCTCAGCTTAGCTTGGCGTCAGTTACTGTACCCTTCATTCAGTTGCGACTGTGGGGAGCGTGCAGCGGGACCTACCCTCACTCTCTAATACCAGGTTATGCAACCAGATTAAGGAGCCATCTGCAGCGCAAACCAAAACCGTGCTATAATCGTGTTCCCCTGCTCATGCAGAACTTTGGCTTACGCGGGATCTGTGTCTCCTCGAATCATTCACCGGCCTCCCCGCTACTCCTCTCCTCCCGCAAGCTGGAAACACACGGCAAGCGATACAGTCAAATATTTCAGTGATTAAATCACTACGCTTTGAGTACGGTCAGCTCGGATGCCGTTTCTCAGATTTAAAGGAATATTCAGGGTGGTTCAAAAGGAAAGCAAAACCTCACCCTTCACTGGGTGCGCTTTGAATGCGCTTGAATAGTAGGTCGAAGCTTGCTGCTTCTGCCGCTCCGCTGTCGACAGCTGAATTGTTAAATGGTTTAATGCCAGCGCATCCCTTACGTAGTTTTGTAAAGCCCTGAAACTATTTGCTTTTATCAAGTATTTTAGCTAGTCGTGTGTACAGCAAGGTCTTGGTTCATCACTCGCGAAAGTAATACAGCATTCTCAGTCTTTTTTTGTTGTTAAAGTCACCTTTATTAACAAAAAGTCCTTTTAAATGACAAAACTGGAAACTCGCACGGCAAGTCGTCTTTGCCTTCAAAGATCTTCACTAGAGGAACGCGGGACTCGCCCCCAGTTACACGTGTTTTAAAAGCAGCTTTAACAAAGGACCGAGCTTCGGCTGTTCTCGGTCCGGAGAGACGCGGCCAGCGGCTGCGCTCCGGCTGCGAGGGAGCTCCCTCCCGCCG